TACTCTTTCTGATATGTAAAGAACAAAACACATACTGACTGTTTATGCTTTATTTCTCTAAACAGTTTATGGTTTCCTTTTTTTTCCTGACCTGTCCATGATATTCTGTACTCTTCTCAGAAACCAGACCTGCACTGGGAGTAGGCGATACATCTTCAAGCTCTGCTGTAGTAAAGAGATCACGTGACATCGCCATAATTGGGCACATGGAATATCATTCTACTGGGGTACAGTTGTAATATATCCCTAGAGCATTACTGTAAGAACAAAACTAGGCATCTTCTCCGTATGGGTTCCCGGCTGCAATTTAGAGAACAAAACAAAACAAAAAACACACACACACAAAAATCCCCACCCCTTGCTCCCTAACATGCACATTGTAAAAGTTGACTAATATGGAGTATTTCTTTCGATGTCAGAGTGCATCTGATTGAGAGGCGATGAACCGTATTCTTACAGTTAAGCCACATCTGTAAAAGGGATGTGTATGCACAATTTAAATTCTGGAACAACCCGAAGGTTCAGAAGTGGACGAAGAATTATAATTTTCTGCCTCAGTCTACAGTTGGTGAACATGAAAAAAAAAAAAAAACGGGTGTCAATGCTTCAGACATATTGGGGCATCGTGGCTTGACTCAAGTTACTCAGAACTAGCTCACTTAAGACATAAGCAAACCCTGCAATAGTTTAAGACACACTTATAATCGAGTGTCTTGCCGACTGGCGTGGGCAATGATGCCTCTCCGGACCCTCAGATGTCCAACAGCTCAAATCACTTCCTATGCTGCCACTCTTCATATCATGACATAGAGCTGTCAAGAATCTTCTCACGTTGTCTGCCTCTATCTCATTTTCCACAAGTATTTTGAATGTTTCCACTTATCAATACAAATTCCAGTTTTTGTTTTCTTTTAACATGACGAGAGAATAAAATGTCTCTTTTAGATTTGTGTAATAAGTGTCTTCGGACTTTCGCCTATGTTTAAACATCATCACCATCATCTTCATCGTCATCGTCCCATAACACTGCATGTCGTTGGGCCACTAGTTGCTGTTGACTGTCTGATCAGCACCCTCTACCTTTGACGGTCAGATGCGATGCACTTAATTTCTGCATGACTAAGGTCTGTCAAGTTCTGTCTCCAGGTCTTTCTTGTTCTGCTGCTTCCCCTTTACTGAGCTCTGTAGCAATGTTATCTGAGAGGCCGTTACATCTTATTACGTGTTCGTATGATAAAATTTTCCGTCTTCTCTCCTCAACGCTGTTTAAAACATCTAAGTTAATCCTTTTGGCTATCCAAATAATTTTAGACATTCTTCTATAAAACCACATTTCCGAGGCCTCAAGTAAATCTTTGGCTCGTCTAGTAATGAGACACAGCAGACAGCAGAAGCTGGGGTGGGGAGGTGGGGGGGGGGGGGCGACTGCTTATCCATCGTGTCTTCTTTGATTCATCTCACTTTCTACGTCTTCTATATGTGCCCAGATCAATCAAAATCTGTGAAACTTTTCTCATGTAAAATCTCCTAACCTGTGGGTTCCCCAACAATGATATTAACGTGCATATTTCAGACCATAAAGCCTGTAACAAGCACAACAAGATAATGGCGTTGACACGTTAGGCTCAAACATTAACAAGAAAGAAACACGTTTCAAGCCGTAAGAGTTCAGTCCTTGATTATCTTTTGCAGAACAGGAACGGGGTCTGGTAGACTGAACAAAGTGAGGTGCGAAATGGATTTGTGAATGCGAACTCTGAGATGTTCATCACATTGTGTCAGATGGTGACATTGTATAGTTCACAAATTGTATGTTGTGCATCGTGTATTGTAATGAAAAGGAAGCAGCTGACAGACGCAGGGGACCAACGAATAAAGATAGATAAAAATGTAGTTGGACAGATGGATGCATATATAGATAAGTGGAATGGTGGGTAGATAGGTGGGTAGGTAGGTAGATTGTTTTAAAAACTGCAGATCAATATCACGGTTAGGGGCTTACTGTTTATTAGTGTAGAGTTTTTGCTGTCTACAATGTTTAGGCGTTGAATTTCCTCTATTTCTAGAGAGAAAGGATATAGTTCCGTCTCCCAGCTACTGGAATGAGTGCATAGTGCCACACCGAGATACGAATTTCCTTTGAAATTCTTTTTAGAAATTGCCCAGTGAGATTTGTGCTGAGAACTGCAAATTCAGGAAAAGGCGAGTTGCTTTTTGCCTTAGAACTTGTGGTGCCTTAGGCGATTAATTGCGTGTACAACTGTTGAACTGTTGTAACTGCTTCTTCCGCCGACGATGAACTGCATTTCTAGTGTCGGACTGAATTATGCTATTGGATTTGCTGTGAATGAAGTCTGTGTTAGTCCCCCCCCCCCCCCCCCCCCCCCCCCCGAGACTGTGATGGACATTCTATGTGGTTATAGTTGGTAGAGGAAGGAGCATCTATGGGGTGACCTATTTGCTCTGAAGCTGGGACTACGGTAACCTGAGTATCTGTAGGCAGGTAGACCCGGTGAGTGGGTAAGCGGGGAAGTCATGTTAACTCAGACAACTGACAGATAGTAATGAAGCAGACAAGCGTGTCGGTTTCCGGTGTGGGTGGATATTCTCACAAGAAATGGACCAGTCTTTAAACAGCTGATTTATTTTATGTATTTGCATAATTAACCATGTTGTTGTGTCCTGATAAAGGCTTACTTTATGCACGGTCAATATCGTCATTCGCGATTGTTGTTACTGAAAATCCGACTAGGTCTACTTCTCATTAGTAAACTTATAGAAAAAATAAGCAGGCAAAGAACGTGGGGTTTCAGACAAATCACACTAATCTTAACACAACATGATTCTTTCTGACTCATGCAATGCAAAACAATTCCACGCGAATACAAAAATAGAAATCAGCCAGTCCCCCACACAGCTATACCCGTATTTTCCACTTATTTCGTCTACACTGACTCAAATACAGAAATGTAATATAAAGGCGTGCTGTCAAAAGGAGAGCTAACTGCAGTTTCTTAAAAACAAACATGAAAATGTTTTTAAAAGCCTGCAGGGAGGACGGTATCCATCATGGAATACACTTCAAGTATCTGGGTAACAATAAAAAAAAAATTAATTTAATGCAGCTATGGAGCTAAGAATCGTTGGGGCCATCTCATAAAAGAAGTTGAAATAATTGGATAGATTTAGGATGTTGAACTTCGCGGACAGTATGAAACTCCTGCCCAACATAAATGTTGCAAACGATTAATAAAATATCCGTTGTGACATGTATTAAACAGGGACTATAAACAGAAAGTGTCTGGTCGGAAAAGCTTACACACTTGCAAGAAAACAGGAATTATGTACCAGAGTTTAATACTGTATGTTGTGTAGAAAAGTGGATACTTTTGACGTCATTGGCCATGAGGCATATGGTACAAGAACCATGCTTGTATATGCTGTGTGAAGCCACCATAACATAACCGCGGTCAAGCTGCCTACACGTGTGACTTGTAGCTAGTTATTACAGACACATTTGAACATATACACATTAAATAAGAGAAAAAAGCGTTGCTAAATTGTTTGCCCAAAAATCAGTTTTCAGCTAGTTAAAATGAGATTTGACTCTACTGCACCGGCTTTTATCCCACATGGCCCGACCTCTTATCTCTGTAGAACAGCTAGTCCCCTGCTACGTGTGTCGAACAAAGCTCGAACTAAATAGCCAGATTCTCGTTTTAAAGTAGAATGAGTTAACCGATTACCAAACTAATGAGCACTAGTCCTCAACCTTCCAAATGCAGCGACCCTTTAATACAGTTCCTCATGTTGTGGGACCCCCCAACCATATAATTATTTTCGTTGCTACTTCATAACTTCAGTGAGCATGTGTTTTCTGATGGTCTTAGGCTAGTCACCTACACAATGGCCAAGGCAAGGTTTATATTCTACTTACAATAGTGCAGACATATTTCCATTCATAGGCACTTTTTCGTCTTTCCACACGATAGTGTTATATTGAATTATGAGGAAGCATGGGACTCACTGCTCATGGCGATGGCGAATGTGACTAGCAGGATCCACCCGCGGTAAGAAAAGTAGTCCACAATGATAGCATGTGGATTTTAGGACTGCTGTTGTCAACATTTGTATTTAGTGTGTCTTCTTCTCAGACGCTCAGCTCTCATCCTTTCTGCAGCCAATTATATTGATTTAATACACAGCCTGTTCATAGACTCAAAGAATTACAAACAATAGATCTAGGGTGGTGCGAATGCGCTTCGTAATGCCAGGGTGTCGGGTTCGATCCCTGCTGGGGATGATTTGTCTTGCGCTAGTTTCGACTGTAGTAGTAAGCAATGGCTCCCGTGTGGGTTCCGGGGCCCCATTGTGGGGAAAACAAGAATAGACCAACTGCCTACCCAAAAGCATGTCGTAAGAGTCGACTAATTGGGAAGCTTCCTTTGAAGTCGGAGTGCATCTGCCGGAGAGGCAAGGAACCAACAGTCTGTATTCAAGAGAATGAGATCTGTAAAACTTATGCACACGCAACACTCAGGTTCTGGAGCAGGACTGCAGTTCAGTAGTGGACGAGCAACAAGAACTTTCCACCAGAGTGTACAGCTGGTGAACGCGAAGAAGAAGAAGAAGAAAGCAATGGCAACTACTCATCGTAAAATCTGCATAGAACACAACAGCCCAAAAAATACTGGGGTTGGTTCTGCAATGTCCTGTAAAGGATACGCAACTAACTCAACACAGGCACAGGTTCAGACCGAGGGGAACAGTGAGCTCTTGTTTGAGCAGCGGTGCTGAAATAATAAATACAACTTCAGCATGCCAGAACATCAAATTAAGTCGAAGGTTACAGAGTCATAATCGACTGTGCTGTGCCCCGATCTGGCAGACGTAAGGGATATCTATCAGGCGAACAGTGATCATCTGCATGCTGGACACAACTTCAGAAAATTTACATAGCACTGACACAGAAAACAAAACTGATTAAACAGCAAACATACCTTCCCCTTTTTCATATGACCATTAATGACTTCAGTGATATCCTTGTTCTTGTCTGTTCTATGTAGTTCTCTGGAATCCCTTCCCAGTAGGTCCTCACTGCTGTATCCGCACAATCTTTCGTAAGCGTGATTCACAAACTGGGGATCAGAGTGAACACAAGGCATGTGAATACATGGCGATGCATGTTTGGCTGGTCAACTGTAGTTTACGGGAACCAGAGTAGTTTCTTCGGTATGAGATGCTCGAAGTGAACACGACTCTCATATAAATAGAGCAAAAAAATTGGTAGCCGAAAGTGTACTTTAAAAAAAAAGCATCTTATCTGATGGCACTTTTTAGGAAAGACTATACGCCTAAAAACTATCCATGACACAGATGCAGAAGAGAAGTAAATTGATTAGTTGCACCTTAAGGTACTCTTGTGTGCAATTTGAATGATTTCACTAATCAAATACACAGATTTTGAATGATAAAATTACGTTCTTTTCAGTAAGTATGCATTTCGTTTTTAAGTAGTAAAGCGCCATCGAATAGCTATCAGTTTTTTTACAGCATTTGGGGGGGGGGGAGGGTGGGGGGGGGGAGGGTGGGGGGGGGTAAAAGACGATTCTCGTAATAAGGACAACATTACTGACTGATACCTGCTAATCTCTAAAGATATGAGGTCCAGCATTGCATTCTTTTTACAGTATAGTTGCGAGGCGTACATGTGACGGTTGCAACCGCCGTTTGCAGTTTCCATTTCGGAAGACAAATTCACTATTTTACCGTATTTAATGAATACGCCTTTCGGGTTACGTCTCGAACATAGCGACAAGAACGGTGGCTGCATGCTTACATCACTCGTGCAGAAACTGTAACGTGTGAAAGCTACCAGTTACTAATACCAGGATGCCATCTGCGCCTGCATATTCTCAACAGCGAAGCGATGAGGAGGAACATATCACATAATACTCTCTCCAGTATAATAGTTAAATACTAACGCTTTCAGGTGCGAAATATTCTCGCTTCGCCACTGTTACATTCAAAGTATACATTTATATAAATAAAACAAAAACCTCTGCGCCACAGGGTAAATGATGAAAGGGAACATAATTAAACACAAGCCACATAAACACAAAAAATACATTCTGGTAACGTCGTTAACACTAAAAAAACGTAAGCGAAAATGCATTAACCTGCAATATAACTCAACCAATCAACTTAATGCACTACATAAATGTTATCACCTTTCCCACATTGTGTGAGTTATAAGAAGTATTGACGAACTTTTAACAATTTTATGGCTGTGGCAAGTGGCAAAAATTAAAAATAATTTCTTACTTGCCGCAAAAAACAAAATAAAGTTTGCTGCTTTCAAGTGCACATTTCAACAATCAAAGACGAACACAACACAAAACCAACCCAGTCGGCTAGGCTATCAACTTCAGACGCCGAGTGGGCTGACGTCACAGCCGTCAGAGGTAATCAACTCACGGGCCAGAAACCGAACAATTAACGATTAACGCTTTTTCTTAAATTAACAGCAGGAAAACAAGTGAAATTGATGCCAGTTTACAACTTTCGTTTCTCTGTTGTACTTTACACTTTTCAAGGGATTCTGGGTGAATATACTGCAACCGATCAATAGAATTTTGTCTTATGTATAAACTGCAAACCAAGCGCCGCCACAGAGAAACTATTTCAGAGAGGGAAGCAGCAATTAACCCTTCCTCCCCCTCCCCCGTCCAATCCACCTCCAATGATTTTCTCTGCTCGCTGCAGGACCTCAAGCCTTGTTTCATTGCATGTAATAATTATTATAATGACATTCATTATTATTGCACAATTAAACACTAAACACAAAAATGCCCACGTCCTAAACAAATTACTGGAAAGGGGGAGGTGATTTGTTTAAAAGCACAATAATAACAACTGTTTTATTATTATTATTATTATTATTATTATTATTATTATTATTATTATTATGTACCGAATGACTAGTGGAAAAGGGGGGGGGGGAATATATTATCATCATTTAGCAGGTCCTTTGCAGAACGTCGCTCTCATCACGGTGTGCCTGACAGAAACTCTGCCCCTCGCCAGCTCTCCCGCCTTGTACACTTTCACATCCAAGGAGTCACTTATGTCCTGTGTCCCTCTTTGTGTTTGTCGGTCCCAGCTCCTCCTTCCTGGTGCTATGCCTTCTGCTATTATTGTTTCCAATCTGACCCGGGGCTCGGAAAAAAATATATATTTGAAATAATATGAAAGGTTTAAGAGCATTTACTTATAGGATTGCCTTTATGGATAGCGGGGAAAGAGCTGCGGGAAGGGGATGTGTGGGGAGAGGTTTGATCCCTAAAATTATGGGGAAAGGAGGGGAACGGGGGGGGGGTGTTTGGTTCGGATGTCTTTTTTTCCCAAACATGATATTATTATATTCGCTATTCAACATATTATTATTACTAAGAAAATGTATCAACGTCTGGCTAATGTGTGTCACAAACAGCTGACTACTGATGACCTTTGACATAAATGTATCTCAATTACTGCATGACTCCTAATGAAAATTGTGGGACCCTCCCTGCACTCAATGCACAAAAGGTACTGGACAACTTAAAGTCATTCAGCCAAAGTTTTCTGTCGCTGCACTCACAGAAGAAGAAGAAGAAGAAGAAGAAGAAGAAGAAGAAGAAGACGAAGAAGAAGAAGAAGAAGAAGCAGCAGCAGAAGAAGCAGTTAAAATAATTTAATGAAGTGATAGACAAGGTTAAAGTAACAGCTGAAGGAATAAGGGTTAAAGTTGCAGAAGAATGGGACAGAAACAGAAAAGTATGGAGTAAATATATATATTTTCAATTGCACTGATTATTGCTTTATGACAGAGATTTGCTCTGTTTGATGACGTTAATATACCGTTTTCTTAATTAAACACATAGCGAAATCTAATGTTTGGAAGGGGAGTCACCTTTCCATTATATCAACATCATTAAATGTCTTGCTGACTGGCGTGGGCGATCATGCCTCTCAAAATCTGCCATCTGACACTCCGTGAATCAGTTCGTGTGTTGCTGGTTACACAACACACTGAAAGAGAACGATATAAACTTTTAGCAGCTTAAAATATAGCAGATGTTCAAATATTACCACTTATTTGAAATATCTATCATACTCATTACCCACTGCACAAGTCCATAACAACTCCGATTTTATCTTCGTTATCTCCCTCAGAATATAGCAACTGATAACATCAGCTCTGTGTTGATTACCTATTCTTCTTCGTTGGCTACCTGTATTGTGCTCATGTCTGGCAAAACCTCTTTCTAGATGAAGCTAAATATTACTACTGAATGCAACTAAAATTATTTATTTGTTGTGGAAACATCCTCTATTGTTCTATAACAATGAAATGATAGCTGTGCAGTGTAAGTGGGTTGGCCCCTTTTGTCCCCATACAAGCAATATATATAAATATATTTAGACCCTTTCCGCCGCTGTCACTACCATTCCATTGAGCACTTTCACTCCTGCGTAGGTCCCTCCCTGGCTTGTCGCTTGTTTTCAATATTCTTACAATGAATCTCAGTTTGGTGTCCGATGCAAGTCTCCATTGTACCGCGGCTTCTTTTGTAATACTGTTATTGCTTATTTTAGCAGTTTCTGGTATTTTAAAAATCACAATTCTGTGGCATCACGGGCAGTGGCGCCCCACAAAGAAATCAGTGGGTTGGAGGTGGGGGGGGGGGGGGGGGGTCAAGCGGATTAAACCTTGTTTACGTAGGCAATGATATTATTTTAATTAATATTTTATTATTTTTAGCCGAGCTGGCGTAGCGGCTGGATTCTCACCGACGGGTTTGAGGGACGTGGGTTCAATTCCAAACGAAATCGTATTTCCTTCTCCCCACACTCAAATTATTTTAGCTCTCAAGTTGACCTTGTCTAAAATGGGCACCAGATAAAGTCCTAGGAAGTAAAGGCAGGGGAAGACTAGTCTACATAATATAGCACAAAATACCCAAAACGCATAAGGGCGTTTTAAAAGGGCCTTTACTTTATTATCGTTGTGTGATCAAGGCCAAATAAATATAATAATGTATGTGAAATAATATGAAATGTGTCAACAAATACTTAACAACAAAACGTCATTACATGGTTTGGTGTGGGGCCCCCAGCCCCCTTGTAAATTTCCCAGCTGTGGGAGTAGTAGGGTGGAGGGGGAGGGGTTGCTTAGGCATTTGAAGAAACCCCTGGCTTCGTGTTTCTAAGCAGTCTAAGCCCCTATATTCCGGCGCCTCTGCTTCGGTGATGTTTACCGTATTTTGACTGTGCTGTTTATCACTTGTCAATTGCATCCTTACGTTACCGCAGTGTTGATGTTATGAACTGTCCATAAACAAACGGAGATGACATATTTACAGCGTAAAGCAGAACAGTTGGAGAGTACGGACAGAAGTAAAAAAAATAACGTCACTAGGAGAGGGCGTGTGTTTGATAACGTAACCATTACAGTAGGCGATAATGTAGGAATCCCGGTAACACGTTGTTTACGACGTAACGATCAACCCTTTCAGTGCCAGAAGGTTCCACCGCAGATGCCGAACTTGCAACCTGAATAACCCTCCTGCTAACTTCAATTCGACAATATAAACAATGGCAGTGACCATTAGGGGGTGCCAGATTTTTCTAGTATGCTTTCACCAAATGTTAAAAGCGAGAGAGCATAACATGTTATGGCGATACAGTAGAACCCCAGTATTCGTCATTAATCCACCCCTCAGGGAGGACGAATATTAAAAAAGACGAAAGTCAAACAAGTTTTTCATACAAGAATTAACTAAAAATCCGTTATTTGCCCCGAATTTAGCCTATTTAATATTGTTTTTTTTTTTTAAGCGGATGGTCTAACGGTTGGAACGCTAAGACCCCTCTGCCTACACCTCAAAAGTGGTTTACTAAATGCAGTAATTGACAGTTTTTACTTGAACATCGATCTCGCAAATACTTTGGAAATAAATATTAACAACTGCATTTATTATTGCTTTATCATTATTACAGAGATTCGCTGGTTCGGATGACGTAAATATACTGTCGTCCTACATAAACACATATCGAAACTGTAAATGATTCAATTAAAAAAAAAAAAAAACATTGG